CACATGGGGGAAGTGGCTTGTGTATCCTAGTCCATCAGTCGCTCTGCTTCCAGCAGATAAATTTGGATTGCTTCCGGGATGGCGTTTTGGAACTACAGGCTGTAAAGTTATGATTGGCTTCAGGAAATTATTTCTCCATCCTTGACCTATACAATCCAAATGCAGCAGTTACCATACAAGAATTCACTCATTACACTAATCAGCTTACCTCTCCGTACCTGCTAACTGGGGATTTTAATGCCCATTCTCCGCTATTGTCCTCTATTTGCCACCGATCAGATTTCACTGGGTAATCTCTTGAGTAATTAATTACTACTAATATCATCCTTGATTCTGCTAAATGAAGTAGACTTTCATACATATCTAGACAGACAGACAGGGAGAGGCAGCTGCCTGGATTTGTTTATTGCGTCATCAGACATACTTCCCCATACTTCCATTTAAATTGCCTTAGAGATGTTGGCAGTGACCACTATCCAGTATCAGCATCATCAACAATTCCCCTTCATGTTCTTTCATTGCTACCAGTTCCATGGTGGAAGATAGCCAGTGAAAGTTTGAAGAATTTCTCCAAAGCTGTTGCTTCATCCACCCAGCTACTGCCAACATCTGTCAAAATACTTAACAGTTGATGTGACCACTCAAATTATTGATGCTGCATCTGCCTGCATCCCCCAAACCACTGGAAAGCAGTCAGGCCACCAGACTTCTCCCTGGTGTGATCAAGCTTGTGGAGAGGCAATCGGAAACAGGCGCCTTGCTTGAAGAGCTCTGGAAAGACGTCCAATGCAGGCTAATTTAATAGAATACAAATGCTGTCAGGCTATAGCCCGTAATGTTATCATGAAACGTAAATGCTCTAACAAGCGGGAATTCCTCTCCAAGATTACATATACCACTCCTGTTGGAGTGGCATGGAGAAAGATACGCTTAATGCGCTCTCGTTATATCATGCCTGCCTACCCTGTAGCGGATGGTGGAAATTTGCTGCATACCGTACCACACTTGCCAAAGCCAATTTGTTTTGCCACACTTTTCAGGAATCTGGGCAGAGAGGTCAAATACGGGCTCCAGCAAACCTGCATAATCTGATCATTAGCAGCTAGGCTGATGGTAGGGATTATAACTCCCCATTCACTACCGTCAAACGGTTTTGACGGTAGTGCCATTGGCTATCCAATGGCATCTTGCTATTTGTAAGGTGCCAGACACAAAATAAAACCGTCCTGATTTACCCCTGCGAACGGGGTAATCCAGGACACTTGCAATAAAAGTTAATTTTAAAACGTTTGAAGCATGCAGAGTGTACTCATCCATTACTAACAGTACTTTGAAGTCCTCCTCTTTCATTATAGATGATGTAGATGTAAAATAAATGATATTTTCTGTGATTTTTACTTGGTTTTCCTTTATTGATATTATATTACCATATTCGTTAATTACCGTATTATTAATATGATATTACTGTATCCATGGACATGCCATTGAGCATTGACAATGACCTTATCCACTGCAAGCTTCATATCAGCAGCCATGTAGCATTTCTTCTGTATCTGTAAGCTTACAGGATGGTTTGTAATTTCGCACAATTTTAATTGAGTCAAGTTATTTCACTATAACAAAAAAAATACCGTAAAATGGGGTTAATTTTTCAAAGCAAGTAAATGTAGTATTTTTCGACTTCCTTTATACTAGATAGGAAAAATAGTTACGTTTACGCCACTATTTTTAGTTTTGCGATATTCCAATTAGTTTCGCTACTACAACAGTTTTACGCCGTGTCATAGGCCTGTCCCGAGTAGCCCTGCCTGTCCCGAGTAGCCCCGGTTGACGGTATATAGCATGTGCTGACTGGTCGCCGTGAGAGTAAGCGATATACTTTGATAGTATATCCCCTACTCTCCACGCAATACAACACTTAAAGTGTTACACTCATTGCAACTGATTGCCGAACAAGCTTCACTGCAACCTGATCCACCGAACGTACCAGAAATCTTACTGTGGTGCCAGACGCAAAATAAAACCGTGCCAGATGCAAAATAAAACCGTCCCTATTTACCCCTGGGAACGGGGTAATCCGGGACACTTGCAATAAAAGTTAATTTTAAAAAGTTTGAAGCATGCAGAGTGTACTCATCTATTACTAACAGTACTTTGAAGTCCTCCTCTTTCATTGTAGATGATGTAGATGTAAAATAAATGACATTTTCTGTGATTTTTACTTGTTTTTCCTTTATTGATATTATATTACCATATTCATTAATTACCATATTATTAATGTGATATTACTGTATCCATGGACATGCCATTGAGCATTGACAACGACCTTGTCCACTGCAAGCTTCATATTAGCAGCCATGTATCATTTCTTCTGTATCTGTAAGCTTAAAGGATGGTTTGTAATTTTGCACAATTTTAATCAGGTCAAGTGATATCACTATAACAAAAAAGATTGTGAAAAACATACCTGAAACAGAAAATAATGTTTTAGTGACAACCATCATATGTTTTGAAGAAATAAATCATAGTTTAGGTCAATTACTTTTCATTCTATGATGCCCGGTGCACAATTCTATGTATAGCTTTCTATGTGCAATTTTGTGACGACTGATGATGCACCAATTTTTCAAGAAGTGAATTTTTTTCTGAGCAAGGTAAATGTAATAAAAATTCTTTGTTGTTAATCAATTTTTATGTTAACTGGAGCCTTTGCTAACTGAGGTTCTACTGTAAATGCATTTTTAAGAGTGTCCCTAATTACCCTGGGGGGTGTCCCTTTTTACCTTGTCATGCGGAAATGGCTGCCATTTTCTTTTGGAATGAAATAGGCAAATTCTGTCTATTAAGTTTTAGAGCCGACACCTGGGTGCAACTTTTATGTAAGTAAAATTTTTCAATACGGCAAATATTTTTTTTGCTCCAGACCTTAGCAGAGGTACTTTTCCAAAATCGCACTTTTCACACTTTTATTCAGCAATTTTTGAAAGATAGTAAATGTTTGATTTCTTTACTAGCTTTATACATAATAGATAGTAAAAATGTTGAAGTTTATGCCACTATTATTAGTTTTGCAATATTTTGATTAGTTTAGCTGCTACAACATTTCTACGAAATGTGGGACGTGCATCCCTATTTACCCCACCCGTCCCTTTTTACCCCGTTTGATGGTACTAAACCATGAATAACAATATCTCAATATAAATTGAAGACTGCCACTCAATATATTTAAATATATGAAAAAAATCGAAAAAATCATGATTTTTTTATAAAAAAATCAATTGATTTAATCACATGATTTAATCATTGCCAACCCTTCTGCTATATGACATTTTGTAGTGGTAGAGGTTCTGAAGGATGTGTTCCATCATTAGCCTTGTAAATATTGACACATAGTTTACACTGGCTGCTAGTCTGGTTTACTCCTCTGTCATCATGAGTCTCACTGGCTTTGAGCTGTTATAAACTTTTTCAAATATTGCCTTCAACCCTTGGCATCTTGCATGGCTGAGAAAGGAGAACCATTTCACAGTCTTCTAATTGTCAGACTACTAGACAATGTGTCACTAACTTGCGATGCGCACCTGAACTCATTTGGAACGCGTACTGAACTAGTACAATTCTTGCGTAAGGTGCAGTTAAAGGCTTAACAGCAACATCCACTCAATATTCAGCCATACATAGTCAAATCTGCACACTAATTTAACTGCAAAATATGTTTGGCAGCCAGATGTCCCCACATCTGCATATGACTGGCAAATGCCCATTAACAATCAGCAGCTAACTTGTTATTCCTTGCTCAGAACGCCTCGTTTTGTATCCAATATTCAAGGTATGTCTCGTCTTGTTACATTATTTCTTGTTTCATTTCTACCTGTCTCATATCGTTTCATAATTGCTTGGACACGAGTTTTGAAGTCCGGGACACAAGTCTCTTCCCTGTTCATACATTAATTCCGGGACTAATTTTATCCTGTCCTGTTATTTTTCTTCCAGAAATTTCTCATCTTGTCTATCATCTCAATTTCTCTCAAAACAACCTAAACTTATTACAATGAACCCAATGTGTGAGAGCTTAATCCATTTTATTAGTAATGGATGCAACACAAACTCCTACAGTAGTAAAAACAGCCTAATGAAGTATTTTTTTTATCAAAAATATAACCATAGGCTAGGGCACACTGAACTAAGTATTAATGGTAGGAATAAGTGGAGCTCAATCAATTAAATTAAATTAAATTAAAAGTGGTGAACAAGAAAGGAAGAAATTTACTAAAATGCAATGGCCCTATTATGAGTTCAGTAATGGAAGAAATATATCACTCACTTCCCATCAAGTGATGGTCCAACTAAGTTTTGATGGCTGGCTGGTCCAATAATACACAAAATGAATTAAAAGTTGGAATTTTCATGTTGTGGTGTATTGTATAATTAACATTTATTTTACATATACCTTCCATGACTGCCTTAAAAGAAGAAGAAAGTTTATGAAAATGGAAAATCACTATTTGTATTATGGATAATAAATTGTGAAGAAATAGAATTCTAGATTATTATTCTAATAATTAACTTTAAGAGATTTACATCTTCTAGAATTTAAAATCATGGGTAAATAGCATCTATTATTGGGTAGGTACTGTATGTGGCAAACTTATTTGAAAGCTTATATTTTATTTTCAGAGTATATTTGTGAGTGATGCTTGCTATTTAACAAGGAACAGAGAATTGGTGACCGGCATAGGCATCATAGCCTCAAGCACTAAACATAGGATGTATCGAGTCTTCCTGAGCCTTTAACAGATGCTATGTATCTTATGAGTCAACTGCTGTAGGGTTAAATGAGTGAGACATTTTATACATTTAATAACTACTGTACCTTATATTTATTTATATTTTTTCCAGAATTATCTCTTAGTTGGAAGTCTATATTTAAAGCAGGCTCTGATCATCAGCTTCTGAACTTGCACAGATTTGATATTTGTTTGGCAGAGAACAGAATCTCTCCACCTCCAAGACAGAAAATTGCAGACCCTGAGGAACTGCAGGTAATTAAATCACTTTGAAGCAATTTCTCTTTATTTATGTTTCCAGTGACTGTGAGTTAGATACGCTGGTACTGATCATGTGGTTTATATTTTTACAATTCAGCATCCCATGAGATTATAGTTATGTGGAAGTTGAATTTTCATTGACGGATATTTACATCTCACTGTTTTATGTTCTAATTGGTTGGAATTTGAAATGAAGGCGTCTGAAATGTTCATTTGCTTAAAAAAATATGCTAGCCTCATTGTTTAAAGAATAAAATTGACACCTTTGAATGGGGCAGAAAAATATCTGCAAAACAAGAATGTTTACCACAGTGAATTTTTCTGTGAAAATTAGTTTTACCATCACAAATATGTACTAATACAATGTCATGATTATATTTCTTTTTCTGCTTTCTAATATATTAGCATTCATCTGCTAGGTTATATTTCTCATTGAAATTTAAAGCATGACGTAGCATGTGACAACTTAAAAAAGTATCTATTTGCTTGAAAACAATTTATGCTATGTTTGGCTTCTTGTACTCCCTCTGAGGACACCAGGACTAGTTTATCATTCTGGGACTCAATGTGCCTAGTTTCTACTTCATTGTTTCTTAACATCTTGATGACACCTATCATGTGCTCATAAACAACTACTCCACAATTGTCCAGAAAAAATACAGTTGGCAAGAATTAGTTCATTAAATAAGTCGCAGTAGTGTGCAGCATCATCACGCTACAGAGAGATGTATGATTTCAATGTAATACTTATAGTTATAGTCTTTATTGTACATAAATGTAGAACTAAAGTGTCTCCTTTCATGCTATTGGATACCCAAAAACCAATGATGTTCAATTTTAATCAACATTCTTCAATGCTGAACAGAATTTGCACAGCTGTGATCTGAGCCCAAGCCAAATTTAGTCTATATTGTAGACAAAAATTTGGCTTTGGCTCAGATCACAGCTGTGTAAATTCTGTCCACCATTAAACAATGTTGATGAAAATTGAACATCATTGGTTTTTGAGTATCCAATAGCATGAAAGGAGACACTTTATATCTACATTTATGTACAATTGACCAGCAGTGTAAAGTTTACTCTTGGAATTATTTTTATTTTATTAAGGAGACTATATTAGTAATATTAACAAAACACCTTGCCAGATTGCCACAGCTTCCTGCCGTAACATAACGTATCTAACAGCATCACATGCCAACCTTGGTCAATTTTCATTCAATTCAAAAACAATTTTCCTAATTGATTCTTAGGCCAAATAAACCTGTTGATATTGATCATCACTAATTATTGTATAATGCCGTTTTAATCAGAATTTTTTAATTATTTTTGATTAATATCATCAGAAATGTATTTCATAGTGTAATCAGTCCTTTCCTTTATATTGCACGATGGTCCAGTTACATCTTTAAGGCTATTATCACCATTATATTTCTCTCTATTTTGATGGAACCTCAATTAAATTTGATTTATTCATTGCCTGATTGTGTTTTTCCAGGAATATCGACTAAAGAAAAGGCGTGCATTTGAAGACAACATCCGCAAGAACCGCGGCAATGTCTCCAACTGGCTCAAGTACTCCAAATGGGAAGAGGAACAAGGAGAAATACGTAGAGCTCGGTAAGCTGAGAAATTTAGCCTTATTTGCAGGCAAAAATAGGATTTATTTCCTGAATAATCGGCCATAAGGTTATTTTATTTACAAGGTTTTGTGCCTATGTAGGCGTCTCAAATGAGTACTGGCATAACCTCAGACAAATTACGTATTCACTTTACAATGATCTCAATTTACACGTGTTACATTCAATTTATCGAAATGTTACTTTAGTTACACTGTCAGGTTGTCTATTTCACCTACAGGTGCTACAACTTTTCAAGGGATGTGCTGTATCTTTGTGGAAAATATCCAAGTTAAACGAGGATAGATATAAATAAAAGATCTTTAGTTGTGCTAGGCCTAGCATCACAAGTTTTTTACTATCATGTTTTTATCTTGGTCGACTTTGTGGAATCTATAATAAATTCATGAGTTAAAAAATTCGCGCTCGTTGGCAGGTCAGTTTATGAGCGCGCGCTTGACGTTGAGCATCGCAACATCACGCTGTGGCTCAAGTATGCTGAGATGGAGATGCGCTGCAAGCAGGTAAACACAATCTTATACTTGTAGTTAAAACTTCTATAGAAGCTAGTGCAATATTCTCTAGAAGCTTGCAAAATATTCTCTAGAAGATTGCAAAATATTCTCTAGAAGATTGCAAAATATTCTCTAGAAGATTGCAAAATATTGACGACTCGCTTTAAATGTACTCTACTGCTGAATAGTGATGATTTTCATCCGCACATTGGTCCTAAATTTTACAAAGCGCTTCAGTTGCGGGTTTAATTGAAATGTGTTGTGTGTTTGTATTACCCATCCTGGTAGTGGCAACTTGGGAAGGGCATGGGTGATCGTTGGTCCCATTTTGATAGATGAGTTTTTCTAAGGTAGTTCCACGTCCATCACTGGCCCGCTGACCAGCTACAACCATTATACTGCATTACAAAACAGTGTGGCTCAACCTGGTACTCAGTCATCCTGACATAACACATCCTCACGTTGCTGATTGCCACGGCTAGCATTTTTGGTATTAAATTTGGTATATTTCATACCAAGTCCGAAGTCTCCCTAATATCATGAGTCGTGTTCATAACATCAGACAAATTATTTACTTTACAATGATCCTCAATTTACAATGTTACTTTCAATTTGTCGAAGTGCTGCTTCACTTACACTGTCAGGTTAAATCTAATTCACCTACTATAATTTTTCAAGGAAAGTTTTGCATCTATGTGGAAAATAGCCAGGTTAAAAGAGGATAGATATAAATTAAAGGTCTTCAGTTGTGCTAGGCTTAGCAACACAAGGATTTTTACTATCCATGTTTTTATCTTGGTCATCTTTTTGGAATCTTTAATTAATTTGTAAGTTTGAGAATTCCCTCTTGTTACCAGGTCAGTTTATGAACGCGCGCTTGACGTGGAGCATCACAACATCACGCTGTGGCTCAAGTATGCTGAGATGGAGATGCGCTGCAAGCAGGTGAACACAATATTCCACTTGTAGTTGAAAGTTCTCTAGGAGCTTCAAAATACTGATCACTCGCTTTCGAAGCGTCATTATAATATTGATAACGTAGGTACTCTACTGCTGCATAGTGATGATTTTCATCAGCACATTGTTCTTGAATATTACTAAGCGTGAGTCATCAATATAATATCACCAATGTACTCCACTGCTGGATAGTGATGATTTTCATCAGCACATTGTTCTTAAATTTTACTTAGCACTTTAGTTGCGTATTTAATGGAAGATGTGTTGTGTGTGTTTTCATTACCCATCCTGTTAGTGGCAACTTGAGATGGGAATGGGTGATCGTTGGTCCCATTTTGATACATCAGTTTTTTTAAGGTAGTTCCAAGACCATCACTGGCCGGCTGACCAGCCAGAACCAGTATATTGCATTACACAACACCCTGGGCCAATAATAATACACAATAATACACCCTGGGTATGTCATCCTGACAACACATCCTCATGTTGCCGATTGCCACGGCTTGCATTTTTGGTGCTGTTGAGATTAAATTTGGTGTATTTCATACCAAGTCAGAAGTCTCCCTTAAATAATGAGTCGTGTATTCCATTTGAGTCATTCTTATGTCTAGTTAACCAGTAATTATTGTGCAGGTTAACCACGCCCGCAATGTGTGGGATCGCGGAGTGACGCTCTTGCCCCAAGCCAGCCAGTTCTGGTACAAGTACACCTACATGGAAGAGATGCTGCGCAACCCTGCTGGTGCAAGAGAGGTGCCTTATACACATTACATATCTAGAATTTTAAGTCATGTATATCCAGTAAATAAGGGTCGCTAGTGATCTATCTTGAATTTTTATTTACTCTCTGTTGTTATAACTTGTTTTGACAAAATTTACTTACCGGGAAGCAGGAAGTTCTAAACCTATATCTAATATTATTGTAGTGAATTAAAATATTTGTTACCATGGAGATTTAGAGTCAAATAATTAGCTCGTTACACCTGCAAATATCCAGGCTCTTTCAGTTCTTATTGCGAGTAACTCGCTAAACTAAAGTGACAATCTAAACTTTCTTACTAAACTAAATGGATAAATCTATACTTTTTCATTTGTTGTACATATATGCTGAACAATGGGCTTTGTTGCTTTTAAAAGTAATTAGGTAATAATGAATACTTTATTGCAGTCCATGTATTTCTGCGCACAAATGCAGTGATTAAAAATATTTCTATTGTACAACTTTAGAGTATTTGATCATATTTTGATGCCGAAAATATGGTGAATTTTATTATTACTCTAAATTGGCAGATCTTTGAACGATGGATGGAGTGGGAACCTGAAGAACAAGCGTGGCGAACTTACATCAAGTTCGAGCTGCGGTACAAGGAGCTGGACCGTGCCAGGGCCATATATGAGCGCTTCATATACGTACATCCTGAGGCCAAGAATTGGATCAAATACGCGCGTTTCGAAGAGAACCACGGTTACATCAACAGCGCCAGATTCGTCTACGAGCGAGCAATCGAGTTCTATGGCGATGACCACATGGATGAAAGTCTGTTCATTGCTTTTGCCAAGTTCGAGGAGAACCAAAAAGAACATGAACGAGCCAAAACCATTTATAAGTATGCCCTCGATCATATGTCTAAAGATCAGTGCCTTAATCTCTACAATGAATACACTCGACATGAGAAAAAGTACGGCGACAGGTCATCTATAGATGATGTGATCACCAGCAAGAGAAAATTTCAGTATGAAGAAGCACTTGAGAAGAATAATCTGGACTATGACACTTGGTTTGACTACGTGCGTATGCTGGAAGCCGATGGCAACGTTGATCTCATTCGTGAGACATATGAGAAAGCAATTACATGCATTCCTCCAGTCAAGGTGATTCATCATGAATTAGGACTAAGTTGTTAATATCCTGGTACTTTAACTGACAGAGACATATTTCCAATTGATGATCCCTGAGATGTTTCTGTTTGACCTCTTAGCTGCCAAACTTATTACTTGTGGAACTCATAATTATGGACAAGCATAATTCCCTGAGTATTTGGATGGTTTTATTGGTTTGAGTGAATATTTAGAGGCTTTTCACTATAAATTTATATTTTCCAGCTAGGCACATCGTCTTTAAGCGAATCTAATTTTCTATATGAAGCAAGTGCAGATTCTATTTGCATTTCATAGTGACACATAACTTTTTGATGAATGTTAAAGAAAAAATTTGAGATTATTTCCCTTTGCTAGGCCAAAATATTTGCATTAACGTTCAGTAAAAATGTGCAGGAGAAACAGCATTGGCGGAGGTACATCTACTTGTGGATATTCTACGCTGTGTTTGAGGAGTGCGTCACCAAGGACATGGACAGAGCAAGGAACGTCTACAACAAGTGTCTGCAGCTCATCCCTCACAAACTTTTCACCTTTGCCGAAATTTGGTTGCTTTATGCAAAATTTGAAATCCGGCGTAAAAACCTCACGGCTGCGAGAAAAACCCTGGTATGTTGTGGAATTGATGATAATTTGGAACTAAGGCTGCTTCAAAGACTTTGAGGTATCGTGTTACGAACGGCATAGAACTTCCTTATAACATCGTTTGTTTCAACGTCCCAGATTATGTCATTCTAGCTACCAGCTTTTTTGAATTTTGCTTCTGGGCTTCATATGGATATAAGTACCATTATTCAATGTAGCAACCGTTATAAATAAGAGTTTTAATACAATGGAAATCTATTCATATAGAACGAACGAGATTGGCAGGCAGGATTTATAAGACCTCAGAAGTTTTCTTTGTGTTTATTATAGTCAATACTTGCAGGAATACGGCACTGAGAAATGAAAGTTATTCCTTATTTACACATGATTTTCAGAATTTTCTTAATTTTTCCGACTTCAAAATGGTTGATGATTCATTTTCTCACTTAGATTATGTCGGCATAACGGCAAATCTTCCAGAATTTTGGTTCCGATGGCTGTGCTGCTCTTTACATTAAATTTGCATTTTCTCTTTTCCTAGGGTCGTGCCATTGGTATGTGCCCTAAACACAAGCTCTTCCGTGGTTACATCGACCTCGAAATTAAACTCAGAGAGTTTGACAGATGCCGGAAACTGTACGAGAAATGGGTGAGTTGATACAGCTGGTAGCTGCTGAAGCAATAGACGGTAGCTGCGCCGAGAAGAGAAGAGCTGGCTATAAGGCCGGGCATTGGCAATTTCAATTTATTTTTTGGCGTTGCGTTGTGTGTTGGGTATGATAAACTTAGACGCGGTGCATTAGCATGACTATCGGCGGTATAGGTACCAAAAACTTACTGAGAAATTTTATGAATGCGAGGTCTTAATAAGCTATTGAAAATATAAACACATTTTAGAGTTGGGTTTCAATTAACGAAATGGGTTGTACTATAAGTTTTTGTGTGCACATTACTTCTAAAAGTTACATCTATATTTTAAATTATTCTTATCACACACTCTCACTAATTTTAAAACATCACTACAGGTCTTCTTCGATCCTGAGAACAGCAAGTGTTGGATTCAGTTCGCAACTCTTGAGGCGATGTTGAGCGACACTCAGAGAGCTCGAGCGATCTATGAACTCGCCGTCAAGCAGCCACGACTTGACATGCCGGAGTACATGTGGAAAGCTTACATTGACTTCGAGGTGAGACTTTACTATCTGATATTTTGGTTCTCATGTGTTTTCTTAACTTGTTTCTATCAAAGCGGTTCCAAAGTTCCATTACATTTTTCGTATAAACCTGAAAGAAATATTGCTTTTAAGCTAGATAAGAAAGGATAAACAAATTTAAAATATATTCGAATGTTTTACTATTTTAACATTTTTTGTAATAAAATTGGAAATAACGGTTGACGGATACATGATATGAGTTCCTAATGGCCAGAGTTAACAATAATATATTGAAAGGAATCTGTAAAGAAGGGAAGTTATCTGGCAGTAATCAGTGCTACATTTTCTCGGTGCTGGTCTTCGTTTTAAAGATTTTGCTATTTACAGAATTTGAATTAGAGGTGCTTATACACGCGGAGACTAGTCGCGTCGATTAGTCGCGTCGACTATAGTTTTGCAGGCTGAGAGCCTATACACTAGGAGAGTGTTTTCGTTACAGTCCGCTACCGCCAGCGCCAGTGCGACGGTTGAAGTTGTCGAGTAAGGTGTGTGCATTGTGGAAGCAAGCGAGAGCTACACAGTTGTACGCACTACAGCGGCTACGAGACAAGCAAGAGAGAGAGCGACGCAATTGTGCACACTACAAAGGCCCGAGGCGGCACTGGGCACACTCGACTGCCTTGAAAAAACTTGAGGTGCTTTGCGTGCAATGCACCAGCTAGCTGCCTCTGAAGACGTTAATCATCACAAATATTAGTTGAATCGACTCAACTAATCGACGCTGCTAGTCGCCTCGTGTATAAACCTTATGATATTACCGTATGATATTAGGAGTGTAATTTTGGTATCCCGTGCTACAACATATCATAAAATTGTCTTCAAATACTAAAGCAATGAAGGGTATGATGATACGATAGCCTAATGATTGGTGATATCGAGTCATAAGGAGATGACTCAGCATACAAATATTATATAGAAAGGGAAATTTCGAACGTAGAGTTTAATTTTTAATCAGCAAAGGGATGATATATTTGCTATTATTGTCCTGACATATGTTGCTGACAACATATGTCCGGACGACATATGTGATAAAAGATGACATATGTTGCTATTGCTATCGTTGTTGTTGTTGTTTGAAGTTGTAATGTCTGTAGAAAGAAGTGAAGCGTGAGTATCAGAGTATGTTTATATTTTGCGATGTGCACTGATTTTTCTCCCTCTTTCTTCTAGGTGCAAGAAGAGGAGTGGCCTCGAGTACGTGCCTTGTACGAGCGCCTCCTCCAGCGCACTCAACACGTCAATGTTTGGCTGAGCTACGCACGTACCGAGCAAAACATCCCCGACTCCGGTGACAGGGCGCGAAAAATATACCAAAAAGCCTACAACAGCTTACGGTCGTGTGAAGAGAGAGAAGAGCGGATCATGCTGCTGGAGGCTTGGAAATAATATGAAGTTGTCAGTTGTGTGATGCAAACAAACTTAGAAAATTTATGTTTTGTGAAATTGTGATAAATCTTCATCTGTAACTTTTGGGCTGCTGAGCAATAATGCGTGCAAATTGTGTCATGCCCTTTACTTTACTTTAGCTTGATAGCATCTACTATGATCTAGCTTAGTCTCAGTCCCGTTGGGCGTTGGCCTTTAGGCTTTCGGAAATTTGTATTTTGTTTACTTTGTTAACAGAATCATAACATTAACACGAGTCGCAAGCGACGTCTATCATTCTATGACTCGCCAGTCGCCAGCAAATTTTTAACACATTTGGAAACTTGATTTTGCAGTGTGCACCAAGGTAAACTGTGAATTGTGCACTAAGGTGAATTCTATACCACAGATCTTATGTTGAAGTGCATGATGAAGCTAAAAAATTATAAATTTATTAAAATGTAGCTGTGAGATTTTGATAATGAGTAGGAATTTTCCAATCTTGAATTTTGCAGGTTTGCAGCTTCTACAGAGCAACTACCTTAGGACATGCATGCAGCATGCTTGATACAATTGCTCCATGGCAAGTGTTTACTGTATAGGCTATACACCTTATAAGATCCACACTCAGGATGATGTATGTTTTCGGTGAATTTTCCCGCGCATTTTCACTTTTTTTAAGCTATTGCTGTGCACAGTTGGCGCAATGTAATGAAAAGTGATTATCTTCGCGCATGTGTTTGCGCAATCCCGGCCATTTTTATTTTAGAAGAAATTTTCTCCAAAGTCATATGGCAACACTGAACACCGCCTGTTTACATTTCGTATGTATAAAAGGCTTAAAAGCTGCTGTTTACGATTACCATACGTTCCGTATCGAGAAGGCGGACAACCTGAAGAGTCAGAAGTAACCCGGACATGTCTTACATTTTATTATTGTCAGTTCGACTTGCGTAGTCAATATACTCGCGTATATTGTCTACTAAAATAGTAGAACTATTTTAGCTTTCTAAAGTACGGCGCACGGCGCATTTTTTACCAACGTAGTACGGCGCACCGCGCAGGTCGTTAAAATGACAAAATAAATTCCCGCGCACCTGGCACATCTTCCTGACCATGGTAACAATTTTGAATTTGAGAATCTTTCGATACTGAGGCCTTCCACCTCTTTAGTGATGTTCATCTTGACTTTCGGTGCGAGATAGCTAAATAGCTGAATTGCTAGTAAACATCTGGCGACTTAACTAACTCAACCCCTCAGGTTTTACGTTAGTTAATTTCTTGATATCTCTAATGTCAAGTTGGTTAAGCCGTATCTGTTTAATTAAGGCACGTTATTGATTCTCGATCGTGGCAAAAACAACGAAATGACGAGGAGGATAAAATGACGCATTAATAATCTATGAATTTCACGTTTTCTTTCATTTTTTCGAAAAATTCACACGAATAAAAAAGTCTTAGAATTCCTTTTTACATACGTGTACCAAATTTCGAATCGATCCGTCTGTAAATAACCGAGATAAATTTGACCTTAGACGCTCCCCTAAAACGATTGTTGTAAAATAAATTTAAGAACTAATGGAAATTTTAGTTGATTTTTTTAAGAAGGAATTAAGTTTACTCATTGAACGCATGACCCAAATTTCAGAAGAAATTATTGAAAGTGCTTGTCAGTCATATCCAAAATTATTCTAGCTGGTCGATTGTGACGTGTAAATTGCAAAATAATTTTGACACAATTTTCATATCATTTTGATCGGTGGTGGAAAAATTCATTCCTGTTCTACCATTGCAATTGTTCAAGTACCAGCGCTATTTGGTCAGACGTATGACGTGAACGCAATCGTCGGCAATCACGTGTTATTATTTAAGCTCCGCCAACTGAAGTTCTGAACAACTGGAAAGGCAACAGTTACACTATTACAGCTTGTACTAAGCCTTGCGCAATATACACAGGTAATATTAAACTTATTCTGTAGTGCACTTGTGTCAGACTGTCAGTTGTGTGATGCAAACAAACTTAGAAAATTTATGTTTTGTGAAATTGTGATAAATCTTCATCTGTAACTTTTGGGCTGCTGAGCAATAATTATATCATAAAATTGTCTTCAAATACTAAAGCAATGAAGGGTATGATGATACGATAGCCTAATGATTGGTGATATCGAGTCATAAGGAGATGACTCCGCATACAAATATATAGAAAGGGCAATTTCGACCATAGGGTTTAAGTTTTAATTAGTAATCAGCCAAGGGATGACATATGTTGCTATTGTTGTCCTGAAATACGTTGCTATTGTTGTCTGAAGTTGTTGCTATGTCTGTAGAAAGAAGTGAAGCGTGAGTATTTTTATATTTGGCGATGTGCACTGATTTTTCTCCCCCTCTTCTAGGTGCAAGAAGAAGAGTGGCCTCGAGTACGTGCCTTGTACGAGCGCCTCCTCCAGCGCACGCAACGCGTCAATGTTTGGCTGAGTTACGCACGTACCGAGCAAAATATCCCCGACTCCGGTGACAGGGCGCGAAAAATATACCAAAAGGCCTACAACATCTTACGGTCGTGTGAAGAGAAAGAGCAGCGGATCATGCTGCTGGAGGCTTGGAAAGAATATGAAGAAAGCTTTGGTACAGAAGAAAAGGTTCAAAATTAAGAAATTGTCAGCGTGGATGAATAAAAAAAGTCAAAATGGTCCTATTCTATTAAATTCTTGACGCTCTTCTTTCCTATTTAGTTTAATTTTGGACAACGCACTTCTCGCGATGATCAATCAGAAAACCCTCAACCCCCTCGGGGGAGGGGGGACTTATGACGGGTGTCTGCTCGTCAGAAGTCCTATGGGATTTCGCGCTCCTAGGGGGATTGTTCCTGAGCGCCCCACTGCTGAGCTCGCGGTGTCTGACTGCGGGTTTCAGTTGTGGGGTTAAGTTAATATGCAAGTAGGATTCCTTACATTTCCCTTCTCAGTCTCTTCTCTGAGCGATCTCTTGTTCGAGTGTCTTCGTTTCTGTTGCTTTTCACCTGTCCCTCCTTGTCACTTCGTCTCCTAATATTACAATTAAATCTAATTCTAAATTTCTAAATATTTTTATTTATTAATACAAAATCTTAAATATTAAGCTGGACTGCTACAGTTGTACTTATATACACTTGTCATGCAGCAATTGTATCAAGCATGCATGTCCTAAGGTAGTTGCTCTGTCATTTTCATGACTGGCTTTGTCAATATGTTTTTAAAAATATTTTACCAAGAATTTTAATGCAAAGAAAATGCCAAGTATATTTGCCAAATCTTAATTGAAAACATATCTGATAGCAGCTTTGTCACCTTCAGAAATTTTATTGAATAGAAGCATAATCATCACTGAAAATCTAAAATATACATGAAAGACAAAAACGTGAAACCTATGTAATGAGAAAACAACAATGGAACCTAAAAACCTGCCCATTGTTATTGAGGCAACATTTCTGTTTAAAATGTGTGGTTATTCCAAAATTTTTGAATCTGAACGAGCAGAGGTAGAACTGAGTATCTTGGAATCACTCTGTCACAATCACATTGCACTGTTCTGCATGAAGGTGTACAGCAGAGGGAGAAGGCTTGGTGAATGGAATGAAAGCTCCTGCCATAGTGTTTAGAAACTCAGATGTAGAAGTTTTGTGACATCAATCTGATGTATGCTGATGTGCACAACTGTATTCATAAGCCAGGGAAGAGCCCATCCAGGCAGGAATAACGTCTTTATAAGTGAAGAAGCAACCATTTTGGAATTATTCCCCAGCAAGACATATAAATTATTTATATATTTCAGAAAAATGATTTCAGACATAAGACATTGTTTCAGACAGTTATCAAAGTAGAGTAGGTAAAGTACAATAAATAGCTTTCCTACTATCAACCTTAATAAAAGATTCAGAATACTCAATACTCAGAGAACTTTTGTTCACTAAAAACAATGCAAAATGGAAATCCATTCAGCTAAAATTTATTATGATGAATTCAAATTCAGAATGCATATCATGGA